AAATATTTAAAAAATCAAGCAGCTGGTAAGTTACCAAATCCTAAATTTGTGGCTGAAAGTGATACATATAAGCACATTTTTTCCAGTTTATTAATCTTCCATTTTAAAGAATATAGTACACAAAATTAGGATAAGTGAATTTCCTTCAATGAGCACCTCCATTTTTAAAAAAACTTTTAAAGAAAGTATAGTCCACTAATTTGGGGTCCAGAGAAATTTCTGGAAACAAAAATAATGTTGAAATTCGGAGATTTGGTTTACTTCTCTTTAACTAAAAGAATTAAAATACAAAGTTGGGGTAAGGAATGTAGTGGCCTTCAACAGGATTGTCCTTACACACCACATTAACTTCCATACTATTGTCTTAAAGGTTGGGGTTAGGATTTAACAGAAAAACTGAATTTGCAAATCCTAAATTTCACTCATGTTCCACCTCTGCTCTCGATTTTAAGTCACCAAATTAGGGAAGAAAGGTTTTTATTTTTATATCAGTTTCTGAATTACATATTCATCAGCGGTTTATAAGCAAGACCTGGCAAATGCTGAAAGAAATATAAGGTTTTCAGATTCATTCAGATCCCTAATTGTTCCCTCTTCTTTGTAGTTCTTTTAAATATACAGTTATTTGAAGATATTGAAACAGATCAGATGGTTTTGCCTATTTGCATTACCACATTTTGATGTATATATGATTTGTGTCTGTCTACTGAACAAAATTCTCCATGTGTTTATCTTCATGAAAAACAACAACAATGGGGCAAGAATTTGGAAAGCTTCTTATATTTATTCCCAACTTTAATACATTGTTTATTATTGTACATAATACAAATTATCTTATAACTGTTCATTTCTGTTTGTATCAATCTAAAGATAATTTGTCCATCTGGGAGTCCTGTTCCCTCAAAGAAGGTAACACAACCACAGAGTGATAAAATCCAATATGTAATCCAAATTAAACAGCTATCCTGTTTGAAGTTCAGGGCTGCCAGATTCCCTTGGTCTTCCGAGAGCTCCAGTTTCTTACATTTAATCCTCAATCTTTTATTAGGCCATGTAAAATTTGTTACTTGTCTCTGCCAGTCATTCAATAACTTGTTTTCAATTTTCTATTTTTTTGTCTGAGGAAAAAGATTTTTAAATTGTCACTGTTAAAGCCATTGAGAGTCAGAAAGGCTAGCTACTTTACTGCAAACCATCCAGAGACCTACCAATAGACAGTAGCTTAGCCTCTTCTCACACACCTTAAGGATGACTAAAGGAAGATACTAAAGTATGCTTTGCAGTGACAAAGGGGACGGGACACTCACTGGGCCTATGCGTGCCTCTTTGTGTATACATTTGAATTTGTCTTCCAACCAAGCCATTCAGATCAATGAATTCAGTGGTTTGACACAGCAATCAATCACGGGTGAAGTTAAGTCTCCTTCAGAAGTTTGATTCTTCATGTTGTCACGAACAAGGTCTTCGTTGCTTTCTTAACAGTGCAGGAGTGGTTTGTTATTGTTTCTTCTGCAATTGTTTCTTCTAAGATTTTTTTCAATTTACCAAACTGCAGCCTAGGAATTCTTAATGATCTCTCGTCCTAAGTTTAGCTTATGTAGCCTTGTTTTTTGTTTTTTTAATCAGACAAAGTCAGCCGGGTCAGCCATATAATCAAGGCAACCATTTTACATCCTATCCAATAAGATTTAGCAATGATATACACCAAGCAGCCTTTTCTTCTGCTCTGCTTATACCATGACTTCATGCGACATTTTTACCTACAAATCATGTTTAGAACTACCCTCTAATTGACTGACAGAAATAGAGGAAATACAGTTCATGTTTGTTCCTTTATGATTTGCATTATTAATTTGATATTGTTTAAGCCTGCAGCCTCACTGCAATTAAATACTATGGTGGCGTAGCGCCCTCTTGTGTTTCCTACACATTCATTCAGGGAAGAAACTAAGAGAATAATTTTCAAATTATTCATACAAAATAGCCAAACTCATGGCGTTATAAAAGACTAAATTTGGTGTAACTATTAATCCTTCTTAATCCTTCCCTTGATTAGTCCCTCTTATTTTTAAAACTAAAATGTGAAGATCAAAGACATAAGAATTTAGTATCCCAACCAATTCCTTCAAAATTCAAGGCTCTAGAAATCAATGGAAGAATGTTCTATTATCAACTGATATCCCTATGATCTCTATAAGGGGGGGTCTGAAAATTGGACTTTCATTGAACCTGGAAGCAGAAGAAACTCTTTTCTCCACATCAACATCCTTAATTAGATTGGGTTTGTACACTATGCTAAACCATAACACAATTTATTAGGTTTAGACTTAGCAAATTTGATGAGGTCAACACAATTGTTTATGGTAAGACTTATGGCACCATATGTATCTAAGTGCAGCTTAGTTGACAAGTTATGGATAAGGAAGCCACAGCTGAACATGAAGTGTAAACAAGTTCTGATGGATAGCTAAGAAAGGGATGTCAAATTAAGTGTCTGAAAGCACTATCACAAATAAACAATTGTGATTGAGAGCCCTGATTTTTTAGAACAGGTTAAGCCTACACAGTTTTCATTTTAACTTCACTTAAATAGCTTCATTTAAATAATAAATGCCCAATGACTTGGGGAAAAATACTATACTGTACTGCAAAAAAGTTACAATAAAATCAATAAAACGATCATCAAACACTTGGCCCAATCTCATAGCCATAAAATATTTTAAACAAATGAAAATAAAAGCCAGATCCATGCCCTGCTTTTGAGTCTAGAAGCACCATTCATAAGCTTTGCCTGTTCCAATGACTGCTCATTACCGGTAGTTGTTTTGTTAAATTATAATAAACAGAGTTACAGCAAGTGGCATTGCCTAACTGCACCCGTAAAGCTAGGCAGAGTTGGACCGTATTGTGGTTTGTTAAGTTCTTGTGCTCTCTGAACTTGGTTCTTTGCTTGCAGACATTTCAGAACCCAACTAGGTGACATCATCATCATCAGTGTTAATCTTCCATGGGGAGCAAACCTAACAGTCGGTAACACTGGTGATGATGATGATGATGTTACCTAGTTGGGTAATAAAACATCTGCAAACAAGCTACTGAGCTAAGAGAGCATCACGCATCCTACAGTTCGACCTCAAGCAGCATCTATTCTCCTCTGCTGGGACTTTGTTACTTGGATAAAGGACCACCTGAAAGTCACAGTAGCATAAGCCGGACCACAGAGGAAAACTGGGGGGAAATGTAGCTATGCATTATTCCACTTCAATTTTGCTGCTGTCAAAGTGGCCCCGCCTCACCTGATCTCCAGGAGTAGAGGAAGACTTGACTCCTTTCCATGAACTGAGGGACTTGCTCTATTTACAGGGTTACAAAACAAAGAGTTTCTCTCTTGGGAGCATGAGGACAGATTTCTCTCTCTGGATTAACTATAACATCCAGCCTACATTTACTTCAATTTGGCATAAGTAAAATCTCAGGAGACATCCATCAACAATCCTATTTTAAATTAAAGCCCTTCTGTTCCAACGCCTCCAAACAGCTTGGGCAGCCACAGCTTTTGAACAGCTATGCGCAGGATGTTTTGACACCTACTGCACACGTGGGTTCTTGCTGATGAGGGTGAAGAGCTGATGTAAGTATTTACTTACATTTGCACGCTTCCTCCAAAGTTCTGGGGGTGGGTAGCCATAAATTAAAATAAAGTTGAAGAAAAAGTTTGCTGTGTAGGTTAATTTACTGGGGACTGATCTACATGGGGCACCATCTTGAGGGAGGGAGGAGACATGATTAATTCAGGTAGGAAAAAAAGAGAGGGCAGGAAATCTGAAAATGTATTTTATGCTGCTATCACTGCTGTAGCATATTTGTTCTACTGTTCCATATTTTATTATCACTGTTATATTAGAACCAGATTCAGCTGTAATTTTAAATGTGTATTCTGAACATTTGCATTTTCACATTTTAACACATTAAACACATTTAAAATTTTATTTTTCTGAGGAATATCACTACCTTTTTCAATACATATAACACCTGTGAATATATATTGGGCTAACATATTGCTCTTATCAGATGCTGATATTTACCATTGCCTCCATCCCCTACCTCTTTCTCTCTTGAGTGTGTGTGTCCTTGGGTGAAAACTCTGGTTATGGATCTCAAGATCTAACCAAACCACACTAGTCAACCCAAGAGGCTCTAAAACAAGGTCTATCAAATTAAATTGATCCAGATATTTTCACAGAAATACAAACAATTCATTCTGGAGGCAAAGATTCAACAAATTAAGGACAGAAAGATAGCTAGGGCCTTGATGAGATGATTAGATTATCCTGAGATGCCTTACTCTCCGAGAATTTTGCCAAAGTCCTAATTTTTGTGCTTTCAGCTATTTTCAAGACGTTCTCCACATCTCATCATCAAAATCAAGAATGCATCTTTTCCATTTTCTATGTGAAGACCAAATCAGATGACCAGCTATTCTACAACTGATGATTGTTTACATAATTAAGGAAGTATAAGTTAAATAAGAGACTATACTTGTTCAGAATGGTCTGGCACATCATAGCATAGGATTATTGAAGGTCCTTATAATTTGGGTCACCAGAGGTCTTCTCCTAAAACAGGGGGGTCAAACTCGATTTCATTGAAAGCCGCATCAGCGTTGTGTTTGACCTCGGGAGGTGGGGTGGGGGTGGCCAGCTATACGTCACTCGTGTCAGGGGTGCCTGTGGTGGCCCAAGAGCTCTGCCAGTAAAAATGAGCTGTTTCCTGGGTGGCCCTCTGGGTCGGATCTAAGCACCCTCTGGGCTGGATCCGGCCCCCAGGCCTTGAGCTTGACACCCCTGTCCTAAACACATAATTCAGATGTGGGGAAATAACTGCCATGAAGTACAGTACAAAGCATTTAGGCCAGGAGTACGGAGAACCCCAATATCCATATTTCACTATGAAAGCCAGCAACATATTTTTGCAGAACAAAATCATATGATGATACATACCATTGTATTTCCTTTTTGGGGTGAATATGTATATATTCCTTTCTTTTCTCTTATCTTTCTGGACTGTTTTCTCCATTTCTGAAGAACTTCTTTATCTCTTCAAAAACATTTTAAAGGTATTTAACATTTCACCACTAAGTCACATAGTCAATATTGGAATTAACTTTCCAGAAAAACACCACACTTTGAAAATCATACTGGAATTTTATTCTTGAGCAAGTGTACATAATATTTTTGAAGATGAACAATCACAATAAAGAACAATGATTCTATTTCTAGATACTAAATATAACCCATTATATGTTGTGTGTATACATGGACATTCATACACATATGGATTTAAGAGCAGCTTTGGGTTATTCACACAGCTGAAATGGCTAAATCTCCCTTATTCAAGCTTCGGTGCTGTTCAAAGAAGCCAGTGCTTTTTGGCAATCACAAAAATAGTGAAATTAAGTATATATCTGGTTTAAACTTTCAAAATTGAATATGAAACAAGAAAGCAAAGATGTCAGTTTATGCAAGTCTAATATTTTCCTGCGCATTCAAAGTCAGGATGAATTTAGTTAAAATTCTGCAACTGTGAAAAAGATGCTGGACAGAAGTTGTGGAAATATTGCTGAGAGGCTATGGTGAGAAACAGTAGGAATAGAAATATTACTGTCTACACACCCTAGCTATCATTTCTTAAATGAGTATGATCTGGTTCAAAAGTTTGTTTAACATGTTAGATTTTCACTGATCCTAAAATGCAGACTTGGAATAATAAGGGAAAAAGTAACAGTATGAAGGAACTGAATATTGAATTTGGCAATGAAAAACAGGAGAGGTGCATAAAAATCTTCCTTCTGTTTACGGCTTTCCTGCACTAGAAATAATCTTCCTCATTGATTTAAAATCAGGGATCTGCTCCTGTTATCAGTGGCATAAATCTTTCACTCTGCAAGTAGCAAAAGCAAATCAAAGCTGGAAGGATACTCATTTTTAAAATGAAAAGCCAGCTTGTTTTTCTGTCAAGTAGTAACATCGTCTATATTAGGGCTTTCATATATTTAGGCTGCAAAAATTCTGATGATTGTCAGATGGCAGAAAGATAATACAGAAAAAACCCTCTGCCACCATCTAGCGATCTAGATTTCTGCAACCCATATTTAGTAAACTTATTTACGCTAATTTTGTTGAAAATAATTATAACACTTACTTTCTCCGCTGCTCAATTAAAGCTTGTTTTCCCCTCATTTCTTTTAATGCTGCCAATCTGCACTCCTCTGCCATCTTACTCTGGATTATGAAATCATATGATGAAGCAGCAGGAAACAGATTCTTTTTATCCCTTTAAAACAGACTTCTTAACTTCAGTCAATTATATTTGTCATCAAAAGCTATGCAGAACAACACAGTAATTGAACAAAAAATCTCTATAGTCATCTCTACTTTCTTCAGGCTTTATTTTTTTTAAATAAAAGTCTACTTCAGAGTTACTACTCTTCCAGATAGACACCGGTTTAACAAAGCAGACTTGAGAATTATATCATTCCCATAATCCTTTTTCTGTTTGGTTCTCATCTAATTTACATTTGTTCCTTGCATTTCCCCCCCCCCCCGAAATTTAAGGTCATAGTTTCTTAGCATGATTGTGTTAAATTGAAATAAACTGTACATGAATTATAAATATTAAAACAATAAAATTGGTTTGAGCATAATGTGGAGTTTGTTTGTTTGTTCTTTAGGTAATTTACTCGTAAACATTTTTTTTTTGCCCAGTTTTGTATAAACCATATCCGGATTTTTTTGGGGGGTGTTGTTGTTGTTGACAGAATTAAGAAAGCATGCGCAGGTTCAATTCAACTACAGTTAGTCATTATTTTACAAGGGAATTCTTTATCAGCTTCAGAGGGACTGAACAATGACCAACTTTGGGCCCAAACCATCTCTTTCTTGGAACTGAACTGTTATGTTTTTATTGGAATTAAGAATTAGATTCTTATGAAGATAGCAGAAAATACAGGAAGGCATTAGGAAGTGGGTGTTGGTGAGTTCTTCTTGATGCCTTCAAACTTAACATGGAAATTCTTTAATTCACATTAGATCTTGGGTACTGTATATGGTCATTTATTCAAAAATATGTATTCCATTTCCTGTAACACAAAACATGACATCCAATCCTCCACCTCCTGAATCTTTGAAGGAAAATCTGTTGCTATGTTCTCTCTGCCTCTAACCATCAAAATCACAATTTTAGGTTAGCTCTGTTGCTTTAAAAAAAAAAAAAAAGCCCAGAAGATTGCATGCTTCAACCAAGGGGATGCCGTTTCTCATTTGCTTTGCAAAAAGAGTGAGTTAATTGAAATTTCATAACATTTTAAAGATTGTTTTGGGATTTGTTTAGATTTAAATGCTAAAACAAGGACTTAGAAAATTACTCTATTTTCAGCATTTCCAAAAATACTTTATGTATAAGATATGAGTGTCTATTGAAAAATTAGTTGCAAATTTCTATTCTCTTCAGGGTCGTGTTTCAAACCCAGCATTAACAGCTGGTAGCTCCCTAAATGAAAGCCTTCACAATGGGAACTGCTTTGAGGAATTAATTGTCCAAGTACGTATTATGGGCTTCATTTCTTCCTGGCTTTAGATTTCAATTCTCATGTTCTATGTAACTATGGGATTTATTATCATGTAAGCTTTTATAGTTCGTGGTCCACTAAATCTTATTATGAGAAAATACATCTGTGAGTCTTTAAGAAGCACCAATGTATTTCATCAGTTTTACTGCAAAGCAGATAGGGATACGAATCGGGAACTATCTAGATCAGGGGTGTCAATTTCATTGAGGGCCGGCCATCAGGGTTGTGTTTGACCTCCGGGGCCAGGGTGGGCGTGGCCAGGGTGGGCGTGGCCAACCTGACATCACTTGTGTCGGGGCACCTGTGGCAGCCCGAGGGCTCTGCCAGCAAAAACAGGCCCCTGGCTCTGTTCTCAGCCTCCTGGCGCCCTCTGCCAGTTTAAAGGGAGCCCGAGAGGGCTGTGTGCGGCCCTCCCGAGCTCTGCTTTCACTGGGAAGGGGCACCGCAGGCTGGTCCTTTGCTGGCTGGTCCTTGGCTGTTTTTAGGGCAGCCCCGCAGGCCATTTCTAAATAGCCCCCTGGGCGGGATCCAGCCCCTAGGCCTTGAGTTTGACACCCCTGTTCTAGGTGACAACTGGCCATTTCTGTAACCTTTTTCTCATTTACCTTTAAAAAATATACTGCTAATTGGTTATATTTGTTGTAGAAAATGACTGTTATCTATTTTGGAGTTTGTTTATATATAAACTATATATAAACTATATATATATATATATATATATA